GATTTGTTTGTGACTCATTGTGAACACAGTAACCAATAGCTTTTACAGTTCTCAGTTTCTTGCTCTGCTGCTGGGTCCCTGCTGGCCTGCAGATTACAGCTCAACATTGACTGTCACTAAAAAAAACGAAAAACAGGAGGGAGTGAAACCAAATTATTAATTTCACAGAGCTGTTGGTTGTATGTGTGCTGCAGCTCCTAGATAATGACACTGTTTATTTAGAGTTTTGACATGACTTACATCAGTGACAACTGAGGGATTTGGGGTAAGCTAGCAAGTGTGTCCAAAAACCAGAAAGCAACACAGATCATTAATAATGTATGTGTGGTTTTGCCATTTTCTTTGTGCACAGAAGCAATTGCATCCAAACATATGTGTCAAAATAACCCTGCAGTCTTAAGTCTTGTTAAAACATTTTACTGATATTTACAGCTTACAAAATAAAAACTTGAACATGGTAAAATGGAGCAAAAACAATTTAGTAAAACACACTGGTGTGCTCCTGAAGCCTAGGAACGTGATCTGATTAATTAACAAGCAAAGAAATAACTTGTTCTAGACTCAAAAGTGAGAGCTCTAGTTATTGCTCATACTAAAAACTCTACTCTAAAAACAGAGATCCAGCTAATATCAGAATATTAAATGATGTAAAATACCAGACATTTCCATGGATTCCTGCTTTGTATCAATGATCCTTTTAAAATTCTAAATATAAGTACGTTTATACTTTATTTTATTATCTCTAGCTTCAGGTTCTTACACTATAGCTTGAACATCATATTCAAGTACTGTACTAAAGTAATGTTGAGCTACTTGTACTTTACTTGAGTATTATAAGTAATTACCAGCTACAACATTAAAGTGATGCTTATACATTAATGCATCAATATTATTCAATTATATAATTATTAGTTATATAACAATATATAGTAGTATAGTATTTTTACTTTTGATACTTTAAGTAGAAGTTTACATGTAACAGATTATTAATGCACTGTGGAATTGATACTTTTACTGAGGTAAAAGATCAGAGTACTCCAGCACTGTTTTGTATTCAACATTGGCATGTGTAGGGATGTAGGGACGACATCAGTGAAAATTAGGTCTCACAGAGCCCACCAGAAGTCGTGGTGAGGTCTTTTCCTTTAAACCTGCAAATTTCATCAGAGTGTTCCTCAAGATTAATGCTCGCACACTGAAAGACTAGAGATGAGGCATAGCGATGAGTTTAGAAGCAAAGTTTTCTTAAAAGAATGCACTTATTTTATTTTCTTCACTGTGAAGGCCTTTATTCTCTTTCACCAACACAATATCGGGGACTTTTCTCAGATACCAATTTATCAGTGGAGTCGGTGAGGGATTACACAACTATCTCAATTAACCAAAGCAACAAAAAGGCTCATTCATTTATTTTACCCAAATATTTAAAGCCAGACTACATTTCCCGAGTCTCCTGAGACTTTTTCTCACTTCTTCAGAAAAAAGCATATTAACCCTTTGATGGACACAGTAGTACATATGAGTTACACAGGGAGGAGAACTGCTTAGCCCCACAGTTTGGAAAGTGTGCTATAGCAAGAGTCATTGAGGATATGTGTAAATGCTAATGAGGACTACAGTATCTAAAGCTGATTTACATACCACAGAAGTACAGCCTGGTCTGCTCTGATCTTTCTTTATATGACTGGAGACTAAACTGAATGCAGAATTGGGACAATGACCATTTGCATGCTTTAACGCTCAGGAGATTATGTTGCTTTTTTATTGGTGCCAGAATCTCTTGGATCTGTTATCAAAGCGTTGTCTAGAAATCTAGTTTAAAGAAAGGCTTGCCAGTTCAGTGCCAACCTCTATGAGGGAAGTCCCAGCGTGTCCTCACCAGAAAAATGTCCATATAGGTTGATTGTTCAAGCAGCTTTTTAAAATGTTTATTGTTAGGCTGCAACCTCTAGTAGCAGTGGTAAGTATGACAGGAGCAAATTCAGTCAGGTGACATAGAATAAAGAGATTATAAGCAAACAACTTTTAAAATGCTTGTTTTTAAAATGTTGTTGTTGATCAGTTTCAGATCAGAGGAGATTCCGGAGCAACTCCAGGTGTTTATTAGTCCAGAAGCTCCAGCTCTGCCCCGACTCTCTCATCCAGAGCTCCCCGTCATATGACTGTTGTCTGTGGGCGAGCAGCGGCTCTGTCCCTCTGCTTCGCCCGGCCCTCCCCACACAACACTCTGCAAAGCCCCACGATAAGCACACATTTTTTGTTCAAGGTGAATATTTTAAGCTCACGTAAATTTTGCATGAATTTTTGCATCTACTTGTGTCTTAATGTCATATTTTTAGCAACAGTACTGCTAAGGCTTTCAGAAAAACAAAATTTTGTTTGTTGTGTCTACTATATATTGTATGTGTGCAGTATGTCTGCCTTTAAGTTGTAGCTAGCAGGATTTAAAGTTTGTCGTTGTAATGGACGTGTTGAGTTACAAATTTTCAGCTATCCATCTCTAGATGAGATTTGCTTTCATTTTAACCAAAACAGCTCACTCTTCATTTCTAATTTATGTGCCTTAACTGTGAATTGAAGCATATTTTGTGCATGTGCTAAGTCTATTTGCTTTCCACTTACTAATGTAAATGTTCTATAAAAACTGCAGGACTTCACTACTTACAACACAGGCATTTTCAAACCACATAATTCACCCTAATAATTCACCCTATGATTATTACCCAGTGGCTAGTGGGATGTAGAAACTTTTCTCCTACAAACTACTGCACACCTCAGCAAACTTTCAGATTGAGGCTGTGTGCACTTCTAGAATAAAAAATTGCTGGTATCCAGGTGGCCTAAGGGTTTATTGACCATGTCATCACAATTTGAGTCGAGGACCAGGGGAGGTAGGGAGCTCTGTTGCATGTCGTCCTTCATCTCACTCCCCTCATTCTAGTCAGTGTCTACTGTTTCCTGTTTAATTAATGCAAAACTATCCCCAAAGTATCTTAAAAGAGCCCAAATGTGCAAGAATCCACCACTCATTGATCAAAACAACAATCAGAGCCTGAGTGAGAGCATGCGCCAGGAGGTGCAATATAACATTTTCATTTTAAAATGCAGCCCTTTTGCTGACGCCGTTTTCATTTTAAAACTCTGGGGTAGCTTGTTAGTGCTGACAGGCAAAAACGAGGACTTTGTAAACAATAACGCAGACACACACATTTGGCTTCCTGATTGGGTCTTGTCAGTCTTGGCATCTTCCCGATTTGTCAGGCTCCTATGACATGACCCCTCTCCAGAAGAAAACCTACAACTTCAGCCTGGACTACCAGCAGTGAATTCAACATAAGCCATGTTTCCATCCAATTGTCATGCGAATTTTAAGAACTTTTGAAATGTCGCAAAAAAGAAAAACAAAAGAACAATGCAAATTAGGTGCTTTTCCATCAACAAGACGTATAGGTTACAAACCAGGGAGAAACAAAACCTGTTGCTAGACCTGACGAATAAGAATCTGTGAAAAATGGAGACAGATCTTCAGGATTGTGTTTCAAGCAGGCCGTGTCCCGTGCGTAATGGGAATATCTGGGAAGAAGCCAACAGCGGAAACAGCTGATCAGATGTGAGTTACAAGTTGCTACGTCAGAACTTATTCGGCAAAAGTGTTTCCATCTCCCATTTAGTGCATTAACTCTTTTTCGACAAAGGCAAAAACCACCTCACGCAAGCGTAAAAACTTTTTTGTGAAATTAAGGATTTTTTTTTCAAATTTTGCCGTTTCCATCAACCTTTTCTAATGCAATACTCGAAATGTGCATAAAAAAACCTTGATGGAAACATGACTATAGATAATGAATTACAAGCGTTACTGAGCTTGATGTCTTTGCTTGCTATCGTTGAATCTTCGGCAGCTGCCGAGTACACAATCTGCTTTCTGTATACACTGGCACGCGCATGTCCAGGTCATGTGATTTGCATTTTTAGTTGTTTTAGTACAGACGGACATCAACACTGATTTGCGGTTAAAATGCTGGTGTGGACAGAGATCGAAACAAAGACGTAGTAATGTAGATGTAGCCTAAGTCAAGCTCAATATCTTCAGCGCACAGCTTCAGGAGTTTTGGAAACACAATGGCTAAGAAACAACCACCAGCAATGAAAGAAACGTTCTGCAGTCAAAACTAACAATTGAACATACAATGCAAAACGTTCTGTGTCTCTGCTGCTCGTATCACTCTCCGCTAAGCCCCGCCCACCACCTACAACAAGGAGCCAGTTGCCTCTCCAAACCTGGTGACCATCTCGCCAGGACCCTGTTACTTATTGCATCGACTCGCCTTCTCAAAGACGCCCCTCCAATGCTTTGTGGCCCAGGGCAGAGTGCTCCAAGCCTCTGAGGAAGCTGCGACAATATCTAACACCAGGATGAGAGGCTAGTAGTCCTGGCGCTGATTGGTTGTTTTGACTCGGGGCAGGGGATTCTTGCAAATGGCAAGAGCAGCAGTAGGAAGCGCCAGAGGAACATGATTTTTTTTCACAGATTAGCTGTCTCATGTGCTACTGTCAGGATATGGTGACAGTTTTAGCAAATATGACAAAAAATTATTTTTAAAAGAATTCCCTTCTGCTGCTTTAACTCCACAGAGCAGTATCATACATTGTCATAATTCACTCAGCATGGTACTGATAAATAGAAGGACTGCGACATTTCACCTTGACAAAGCTGAGAAGGTATGCAATGCTCCTTCCATTCATCACTATCGAGGATCTCTGCTAAGACGAAGCGCTTTATTTGCTTCATCTTTATGAGTTTTTCTTTCTAAACTGCTCACTTAATCCTTCTCCAAGTCGTCAATGTTTCACTTACAAAAGACAGAGATGAAGAGAGCGCTTAGATTAGCTTGGTGAGGAAACAGGAATCCTTTGAGTGAAGTTAGCACTTTAATGACGTTTTAATCAGCGGGCTAACCGACATGCGCTGCTATCGAAGTCACAAAGAATGTCAACACCAGGATTATCAACATCTCTTTAATCTTTAATTAGCCTTTATCAGAACTGTCACATAGCAACAGAAAAAAGTCATACACATTTCAGCTCCCTGAAAGAGAAGCCTTTTATGTTCTTTTAATACATGAAAATACCCATTTTGTTCTGTCAAAATAAATACTGAAGAGTTTTATAAAAGTGTTTTTTTTTGTCTCCTTTGGACAGTTTGTGGAATTTCTTTTCTTTATATACACATTCATGCTGTAAGCTGCAAATATAAATGAATAAATTAAAAAAAGAGAGGGAAGGGATACAGGGCATGAATGACACAAAACACAACTCAGAAAGTTGCACAAATGGAAGCCACTGTCAAAATCATGCTTTTTGCGCCACATTTCCATTGGTATAATTCTTTCTTTAATGATAAAACTGTCCTGCATCCTGTAATTTCAAGCAATAGCCTCTCAATCAGAAGCTAACAAACTATTCCTTGAAACCTCTGAAGGCTGGAAATAAGTTGACATTCTTTCTCCTCACTTTTCTGCAGAAAATGTGGTATAAAGTAAGACTTAGATAGTGGCTGCATCTGAGAAATGCTGCAATCAGGTAAGATGTAAATGTCTAAGGGATATTTTCATTTTGCAAATAAAACAGGCGCTGAGGCTGAGGCTGAGAACTTCAGTACCAAATATTACCTGGGAGGTTACATGAATGTATAATCCAGCATTTGAAAAAAAAGTCATCGACATGTGCAAAAACTAATGAAACCAGAAACTTGGTGATTATTCCGGATAAATGCTTGCTTACTGGAGCTTCTGTTTCTGTTTGAAGAAATACTGAACCATCAATAACAGGAACAGTTTCTTTTCCAAATAGAAACACAAAAGTTATTCTAAAAATGAATTCAACATACATACTGTACCATGGGATATGTAGGAGGCAAACGGCTTTAAAAGGCTACAGATTCTGCTTAAAGAATGGATTCTTAATGGAATAAAATACCTTAATTATTTTTGATACTCCTGATTTATCCTACAATGCAACCCTCACCAATCACCATGTCAGCAGGACATAAATATAGTATTTAGTTGGTCTGTATTAGTGGCAGTGCTGCTTTCTAGCTCTAAAACATCCGAAAGGTTTCCAATATTCTGATAAAAGATCCTTTCATTTATCTTTTCTAATTGCTTCTGCTTTGTATAAATTCATATTCTGTCTGAATGTGTGTGGTAGTGGATCGATCTGTGCTGCTTTATGAGCAAATCAGGGAAAATGAAAAGCGAAAGATAAAATAAGACAATGTCAGAACTGTAATCATCAGTTCTGTGTTTCAATCTTTAGATAGTCCCAAAGAGTGTTGAATTAAATTTGAATTCTTGTTGGTTGGGTTAAAAAGGACAAATGGTGAGTGTTGATTAGTTATATATCTTTCTTTGTCTGTAAAAAAAAACTTTGAGAAGTGCCTGTTATATGATAAATGGATATTTCACTAAAAATGCAATCATGGAAAACTAGCCATGTTTCCATCCAATTTCATGAGAAGTTTAAATGGAAATGCAAAAACGAAAACAAAAAAAGAAACTGCGAATTAGGTGCGTTTCCGTCCGCTGGTTTGGAGCGAATAAACCAGGCTACAGCAAGCATAGTTCTGTCAGACCTTACACATGGCTGTAATAAACAAGACGTATGCGTTCCAAACCAGAAATAAAACCAGTTTCATGGACCTGAGGACCATGGATCACTGATATTTACTCAACCTGCCCTTTACTTGGTGATTTCCTACATGTCCCAAAATGACATTCAGCAACCTCCAGAGAAAGCTGGATTTCAGTCAAGGTGGGTGTTTGGAAATTAAGTTACTTTCTTAACCCTCAGTGTGTCTGTGGTTGCATTCATGCACCCTTACAATAGAACAATTCCAAGGCTAAATTGCATTCTTGTCTTTTCACTTACATCCTGATATCATCAAAAGACGTATAAATAACATGCCAGTTTCTTAAGTCATTTCGTGTGGTACTCCAATGCATTTTTTTTTATTTTTGCATGTCTTACATTGTATAGAAATGGCGTGACATTTTATGCCAGCTGTCACAGAGAAAAACACCAGGTGTGGGATGTAAATAACCATGAAAGTCTGACAATAAGGTGGTGGTGGGGTGGTTGGATGGATGGTAAGCCGGTCTCTGACCAAAAAAGAATTATATTAAAAGACAAAATGAGTTTTATTTAATTTTTTTAGTTACGTAGGGACTAAACAGCGTTAAATCACATGCGGAAAGCTTAAAATGCATTGGCATGGTACGCGAAATGTCCTTAAAAGTGGAGTGCCATCCCATGATATCACGTTGTCACTTAAGGTCCAGTAGGTGCCGAAACTGTCCTCTGTACCTCTTACAAAACAAAATGGCTGCTTTAAAAATAAACTGTTCGCTTTGATTTTGAACGACTGATATAATGCTATTTTTCACTTCCTTAAATTGTTCATATGTCAAAGCATTTTTTGGTGTGAAAATTACAATAAAATTATTACAACATTGATGCCTATGATGATTTCGGAAAGCCAAGCAGGCGTTAGGAGACAGTTTAGTTGGTCTTTATCTCGCTAACGAACACAGAATTCAGCAAACTCTTGGTTGACCACAGCTCACCTCCAGCCTTCTGAGCTCACTCTGTCTGTGTTCACGTTAACTTTGTGTATTGAATCCCACTGATGTGCACATGGAAACATCAGGCTCAAATACCATCAATACTTAAGATGTATTTTTACAAAACTTTAATCCAAATTCCTTCACAGGTAAACGGATGCTCTAACTACTCCCTTCTCCTTATTCTACCTGACATATCTGTGTGACCCTTTGATCTCAGATGGTTCCCGACTAGAGTGTGCTCAGATAGATTTTTTTTGTATCTCCTGATGTGTTTGCTACATCTCCAAATATGGTCTTCCCTACACTTTTCTGCTCATTAAATTTCATGAAGGTAGGCGAGCTTGAGTTTCCTAATTTTAGACCATTGAGGAGCTTCCCACACAGCACACACATGCACACACAAACACACACAAACCTCTCCAAAGAAAAATGGACATGCACACTGCCTGACGTTAAGCTTCCACAGATGTCCTGAAACTGCAGCCTTGGAAGTGGGTGGCTCATGAACAGCAAAGTAAAGAAAAAATAGGCAGAATATAGAAAAACAAAAAATGCCTGCACTCAAGCCAAAATCTGTCTGCTTTTATACTCAAAGAAACAAACAGATATTTTTTTCAAAAGAAAATTGTAGGTTTAAGGATGCTGAAAAACATGAATATCTTTCCTTACAAAAAAAGATCAATTTGCAACTTAGCACCTCAAATGTCTCTATAGAACTGTATTATTTAGTTAAAATTCTGCAGTATTTGTTCTTTCTTTTCCAGAAAACTACACTACTCTTCAAAGAAAATATGACAATGGGAGATTGTTTAATTGTTCTAATTTGAAAAGTAAAAAAAAGGCTATGTGGTGCTGTTTTAAGCTTTGAGTAATTTGTTGAGGAAGCAAAATCAAACATGTAAAAACATTTTCTATTATAAATAAGGAATTCTGATTCTCATTACTAACATTCCCACTTTATGGTCCATTTACACAAAGTTGGAAAATTAAAATCATCAGGAAGTTAAGGCCAGATAAGTATAGTCAAACAATGTGATTTTCATCACATACTGTAAAACTTTCTCACCGTAAGTTGAAAAGCAAGTTGAAAAGTTTAATAACAAATTAACAGAAATTGAAACGGTTGGGAACAAATGGCAACTGGTCCTAAAGCATCATTTGCCCAGTCATTGTTTAATAATAAAATAAGTCATATAGATCTTAATTATTTTAAGAACATTGGAAATAATTGAAAAATAAATAGAATTCAAATGCACACCAAAGACGTCCATGTGTTGTTTTTGTGAGAGATTATCTATTTAAGGAATTACTCTATATGCCCTAATATCTTCAGAAAATATAATAGACTAACTGATGACACGGATAAATTCATCCTTCCTTAAATCACAAAATGTGCTTGTGCTTCAATTACGGAAGAGGTCACAGTTTGAACAAGTCCATTTTGGTAGGAAAACACAGGAACAAAGAAATGTATATACTTGTTCATCAATGAAGAAACGTTTCCCATTTTCTGTCTACAGTTTGATGCTGAAAATATTAACAACACTGGAGCAGCCCCAGAAGTTCTGCATACATAATCTCCTCTTATGATAGCCTCAATTACTCTTCCTTGGCAACTTGCTACACCATAAACATTAGAGCATACACAAGAACTTTTCACAAGTTTTTCATGAGACTTACAAGCTGTGAATGGACTGAGCCAACAAAAGAAGCTTTTCAGAGAACGTCAGGGACAAAGCATCCTGAATTTGCACTTGAATGATTGACTGTAAGAACTGTATATTTTATGAATTGCTTTTTAACTCGCTGTATACAGATACTTCTGTGTTTCAAAACAAGATGTTGCACTGAAACAACTGAAATAAAACAGCTTTAGCTTTCTTCCAAGAGCACTGGGGTGAAGAACATCATCTGAACCAACTACAGGAAATTACTTGAAATAGCAAGGGATTATGGTATAAGGAGGAAGATTTTGACATCTGATAGCTATCCGTTTTTAATGCTTGGAAAGTCAACACAGATTTAGGATAACTACTGTTTGGGACCATAAGCAGCTACTGTATTTCCTTGTGTGGTTTTAATAACTGGTGTAAAAGCCAAACAAACAACAGTTTATTTGAATACATTTGTTTTGACTCCCCCCTTTCTAATACTGTAGGCTCAAACTTGGTGGGATGCAAGGCTACCAGAACTCTGTCCATTAGACAAGATACTTGTGAAGGCATTTGTCTGTTGTTTACAGGTCTAATTTTAAGCCACCACAATCGCACCGTTCACCATGCTGAAGTGCCCTTGAGAAAAATACTCAATCCCCATGACCTATAGAATAAAACTTTGGAGCACACTGAGCTTACACATGGACAGCCGAGAATTGGATTATGCTGGAGGAATGGTTTGAGAAATTTCTGGGGGTATTTTGATACTTTGAGTCCACTGTGAATCATCATTTCAATCCATTGTAGCCGAAATTATCAAAGCTGACAACAGCGCCTGTCAGCGCCTGAAGAACAAAACTACAAACTTCCTACAGAAGGTCGAGCCTAAAGAAGGTGAACAATATTCAAATAATACATTTTGGATATATCTCTTAAAAAGCCTGCAGATGAAAATGATCTCTAAGTTGATTCTGGTACAATACATAAACTGTCATTGGCAACATTTCTGTTGTATCTTATGCATGGTCCCTGAAAATATATATATTCAAAATATAGAATCAAATAGCATGATGGTAAAATAATTTGAATTGAATTGAAGTGGACAGAACTACAGTAAGGTGTACATCATGTCTGATAGTCTGATACTGAACAAGCTACGGTTCCCTTCCGCTCTCCTGGCTGAACTGTAATGTGTGAGGCTCATATTTATGTATCTGGAGTAACATGAGAGCTCATGTCATTTGTGAAGTTTCAACCCAGATTGGATATTTCCTCTAAACCGTGACTTGCTAAACTGGTTCAATGAGCTTGTCTCTGCAGGGATTTGCAATTACCTCGCCTGCCCAATGATTACAGTCAAGAGCTTTTTGGCATTTCTTTGTGCCTGTGAATCAGTGCTCAACCGTGTTTTCATCTGATTAACTGATTTGAGAGGGCTGTGTTTGTTCCTATGCAACCCTTTTTAGGAGGTTCACTTCTGTTGGTGTGTCTGCTTTGACTCTGGAAGACACAATGTTCACTGTCGGTCTATATTTATAGGTGTCTCTTTCCAAAATGTAAACTTTTCATTAACTAAAAGTCATATTTAAGCTCATTTATAATACATGGTTGGTCTATGAACTGAAACTCACTAAATTTGGAGATGCATTGCTGTCAATGCAAAAAAAAAAGGCATATGATCCATAGAAAATTGGTCAGCAACCCCTTCGTGGGTTTTTATGAGAAACACCAAACCATAAACCAAAAGGAGTAAATGGTAATCTTGGGTCCATTTCAGACATTTACAACCACATTAGTATCCTTTAATCCTTTCTCAAACTCAAACTTAGAACGCTTTTGATGAAGTCATCTTTTAAGTTGCATTAAGTCATTTTGACCACATAGAGGCAGAAAAGGCCCACAGTATGCTGACAGACACACAGCCCTGAGTCTATAAAGTTAGCCACAAGTTTATAAAGTTTTGGCTTATGTATTAGCAATCTGTAGTGTGCATCCAGTATTCACAGACCGACATTATCATCCTATTGAAGTTGTGCTTCTCTCCACGTGATGAATGTAAGTCTACTATTAACTCCTCTTTTAGATCTGATTTGGTCTCCACCAACGCCTGAGAAAATAATCTGGCTCTAGATGTTCCACTTTCTTTGCCAGCTAGTTGTTAACTTGTCTGTTTTTTAGTGCTGCACATAAATAAGTTTAACCCCTAAATTGAGTTTATTTGAGCTTATTTGGTGACCTTTTGAATAAATGAAAGATTTATGCTGTAAGCCACAGGTACTGGAGGCCACAGAGAGAGGAAAATTTGCAGGGGAAAGAGAGGAAATGAAGTAAAACTAAGTATAAAAAAGGACAGGTTTGCATTATGCGTACAGGTAAAATGTTGGCTTTAGATCTCTGTTTCCATTAATATTATATACAAATGGAAACATTTCTGGTACATTCTTTAATTTGGCCTCCAAGGGCATTTCACACATACTAACAGCACACATGAGGACATGCACATACACACTCGGAAGCACACTAGTATGAAAACATGCATCACTATGGAAACACACATACAAAAGCATGCAGACTGCAAAAACCTGCAAATGTAATCACACATACACACACACACACACACACACACACACACACCGTAACCATGCACATCATCACAATGCCCGCTGAATCATTCATGAGCAGCTTTTATGCGGTGCAGTCCTCTTAACTTCTTATTGTGTGGAAAACAAGGATTCGATGAACATGGAGTGTGAGCTAGCAGCCTCTATAATAATGCACTTTGACAGTTTAGGTCAGGGATTTAATGCAGCCTTGCAACCACATTTTCATTTCAGCTTAGTGAGGATTTAGCAAAGCTGGAAAGCTTCGACCTGGGAGACATACAGGTTCTTCAGCTTTGGGTCTAAGACTGAGACACGTGATTGTTTAACGTGATGTTTAGCAAAAGAAATATTGTTCTCAACTCTGCCTCTTTTCGTAAATAACACATATTTTACCAACATATGCTCATTTTATAAGGGACAACCTGCTAAAATCTATTGTCACTCTTTCAGATTGTATACTGGAAAACAATAGAGAGCATCATATAATAATCAGAAATAGGTCCTCTGTATGTAATATCAAATAGCTTTGGCAGCATAATTCACTTCCACAACTCCCAGTTATTAATCACATCTCATGCTGTGAAATTCTCCTACACATTCCACCGAAGCTGCCAGTTCTCCACAAGACAAGCTGGACTTCATAGATAGCTACCAGTGGGCCTGCTGATGGGATCACAGTCGCATTCTGGCTCTGATTTAGCTCGACTGGGACAGCTAAGTCTCTATGGGCCTGCAGATGGGAGAACCAGCATGACAGAAACGGCATGAAAAAGCCGGAGAACTGGTTTTGTTCCAGTCTACTAGGTCCCTGTCACCTTCAAAGACCACAGGTTGAGTTCCAGCTGAACTCTGAAACCAAATGAACTCCCTGGCAATGTCACATTCCTCGCCTGGATTCCTAAAGTTCTATCAGGTCTCTGGCTTTTGGAGCTCTGCTGGATTTGTAGCAATTGATTTGAGCTCCAGATGTGTGGAGGCTGTGGTGTGTTTCCATCGACTCCGTGGTGACAGTGTGAGAGCCGAGGTCTTTGAAGATGTAACTGACGAGTCGTTGTTGGTCACAAGCAGGACTCGTGGGACTCTGTGACGGTGTGCAGAGACTTTTTTTCCTGCTGCATGTGGTTCCCGTTGTGAAGGACAGAATACCTGAAAGAAAACAGAGGGAGGAGTGAAGAGAGAAAAGTATAGTTAAGTAATACTTTTTAGACAGTTGGTCAGTCAAAACAAGTCAAAACAAGCAATTTCAACTTGGGCTCTCAGAACATTTTAAAATATTTTATGACATTTGATAAAAAACAACCAATTCATAGAGGGAAAAAAAGAAAAGAAAGAAATGAAGTGTATTAGTTGCAGCTCTAAAATATGTATATAAATAGTTTATATGAACACTGACATTGATTAATTAAGAAGTAAAATGCCTTAACTTTGGTCTGAATGCTATTCTGGTCTAACCCTCAGGCAAACCTTTCTGAAAACAGTTCCTCTTTAAAAGTTTAACAAACTGCAGAGGCAGAAAAAACAATCTGATCTTTGTCCACTCTGCTGCTACTGGGCAAAGCCACCACCAGGTTCTTGTCAAAACAAAAAGAGGTGGCAAGTTGCTGCAGCTGCTCCTGTCTGAAAGGGCCCTGACGGATAGAGCAAAGGTGCAACAGCAGTTCAGCTGTAAAGAAGAACTTGTCCAGCAGCTTCATCTACACCTTAAAACGACAATGATCTTCCAAACCACATGAGCTGGAGCAGCATCACAATTAGTATGAGAGATGGTCCTGTTGGTCCGATCCTTGCTTACTGGAAAAGTGATCGCACTGTCTGGATAACAGGAGGGTAGTTCAGAGAAGAAAGTCCAAAGGAGTGTGTTTTCATTTTATTATTCATATGGTTTGGAGTGACGTATTTTAGTATAATAAGTTTAATAACCAAAATGAGCAAATAGACATAAGCAAAAAGGAAGTCAGGGATCACAGCATCCAGATAATATGGTAACATTGCGATTATATTACTTTATGATGACATATAAAAGAAATTTGAGTAGGAGGATGTGTGAGAGGAAAAGTAGTTCAGCGATGTTACAGTAATTGGTTCAAACAAGCAATTCTAATCAGAGAAGAAGCATTTAGCAGCAAAAAAGATGAATGTGTCATAGAATCTAATGCTACATGTCTAACGTGTAGCTGTAATTGGTTCACGCAAACAGTCTAGCACAAACAAATTTTAATGTGACATTAGTGCACAACAGCGATCACAGCTCATTTCAGGAGCAAGAAGCAACTATAAATCAACTATAAGAGAAACCCATTTGGCAGCAATAATGGGTCTCATTTGTATATAGTCTATTGGCTTCACTGCATTTGAATAAGAAGAATGGATATCTCTGTGGTACACATGCAAGTATTCATGAGTGTGTGTGCGTGTGCATGGGGATATGTACAGTCAATGATTATGTACATTTTGTGTAGACAGATCTCTGTATATGTACAAATGTATGTGTGTGTGTGCATCACAGAGGCCTCACCGCAGGCTAAAACCATTATGAACTGTTTACACAAACACCCTGACCAAAGAGTCTTCCTGCTGCCAAACTGGCCGTGAAATTTACCTTCCCGACAACCTCGAAAATTTAGAGCTTTTCAAAAGGAAACAGACAACAGGTTCTCGCCAGAGTGAAACCAAAAATTGCTGCCACATTGCGGTGTTAAACCCTCAGCTGGTCTCACTGTGGTTGTTTGAGTGTGACGGGTTTTCTGCTTATGCTCTTTAGAGGAAACAAAGATGCTGGAGAGACATGTTTGTAAGGAGAGTTGGGGGAGTTTTTTAAAAAATATTTCATTTAGTAAAGCACAGTAACAGACATGTCTCTATTGAGCATAAGCTTACTAAACATTAATTTCATAATTTTTGAGTTATGGTCTTTGTAGCTCACATATTCACTTTTGGTGCTTTGCTGCATAAATCTTCATCATCTAAAATCTGTACTTTTATGCTTTAAAAGACTGAAATTAGTCCAAATGATGCTATAAATGATGCTGCCATCTGTGAAGTGATGTGACAGCACACCAAATGGTGTTTAGACTAAGATAAAAAGCGCTGTGTGATTTTTAGGATTTTCAGATAAACTGAAGTCTTAAAGGCTCTTGTTTTGGACAGCTGACATGGTTTTCACTGTAGAGTGACAATATTTGTCTTTGACAGAATCTTGTTTGTGACAGCAACATCATGTCAAATAGTAAATATTATAAGTTGCAGCATTTGTTTTCTGGAAAAAAAAAGTTTTTGTCTTTATGGTTCTTTTTCATCTAGCATGCGCTGCCATTTGTGTCTGTCGGTTTATACGTTTATTGCCAGTTTCAGCAGAGGTGGAAGTGGTTTGAACCAACAAATTATAAATTTCCCCCTTATTGTTATCAGTATTTTGCTATTTAAATCATTATTTTGAAATGAAATATAAATATTAAAACAATAAAACAACCCTCAAGTTGGTATATTGGTATGGCCTATACCCATGGCCTCCCGAATACAATTCATGTCACTAATGCTGCATACAGAGGGACTACTGGGTCTGCACCCATCTACCTAACATAATACAAGCCTACGCCTGGCTCTGCCATCCCTACACACAAAGTAATCTCAGTCCTGGCTGTTCTCATCTGTGACACCACGATGGTGGAACGAGCTGCCACACGCCATCAGAGCAGGGGCGTCCCTCTCTGACTTCAAGCTCTTGAAAACTCATCTCTTCTGAGAACACTTTCTCTTATAACACTGCAACCCCTAAACTCTAACATGCACTTCCTGTGCTCTTTTTCTTCTATCTCCTTACAATTCTCTTGTATTGATTGCACCTTTCCGTTAACGCTTACTTCTTTCCTTAGGTATTTACCCCGTTGATGCCATATGTGCTATTAGCTCTTACTAGTATGTATTGTCAGTTGTAGATCTGTATTTGATGCTCTGTTGATGCTTGTATGTTATTCCTCAAAGTCGCTTTGGTTAAAAGCATCTGCCAAATGAGTAAATGTAAATGTAAATGAGCTACGTAAATATTTAAGGTAATAAAAAAAATAGCCATGAAAAAGAAAATATTGTACATATGGAAAAAGTCACATATAGCTCTACATCACCAACTTAAAATATTTTTAACTTGGATAAGTATGTTAGAATACTAAATAAAATTTGTTTTATTAAAGACTGGGCCAACGTATCACCAGGCTCTATCTTTAAAAATACACATTAATATAAATGATCTTCAATATAAAGTAAACAAGATAGTAGTATATAGCTCTACTTTCCATCCATAATTTATAAATGTGGGGGGTGGGGATATGAAATGTCAACATGTTACTAGAGAAAACCTCTCATCTAAAGTCTCATTGAAATGCCTAAAACTCTTAACATAAAAGAAATAAAGAACACAGTGAAAGCCGGAATAATCACTGATGTATGCACGACAATGTTAACATAGAGAAATATGTATCATCATGTAGAGAAAACTGCAAACTGTGTGTGTGTGTGTTCATTTAGAGCATTTTAAAATTTTTACATTTGAATCAAATAAAAATTTGGAGCCTGACATGTGGCCGCATCCATTCTGTGTTTATTTGTGGTTGTGTTTGTACGCAAGTGAGCCACCAGGCCAACTGGCAGAGCGGGAGACAGGATGGAGACTTGTTTAATGAGGCCAGGGGAGAGAGAGACAGAGCCGGATTACAACCAGACTAAACATCTCTACATATTTTGGGCAGCAATGTGGCGAACATTCATCTTGATAAAATGAATGAAAAGATTTTGAGTGTGCTGTATAGCAAACCCAGACATCTGTTGTTCCTGATGAGTGGGAAAGGAAAGAGAAAAGTATCCAATAAAGATGAATATGGTCTAAGTCCAAATAACATTGAAAAATGTATTTCAAAACCTGCAATATAGAGTACTACGATTGTATCTCACACTTCATCACAAATCACTTTAGAACTTTGATAACTGTAAAAATTACATTATGAAGAAGCTGAAAAACACAAGGAAGGTTGTTTCGTTGGAATTAATGAGGAACTGATTAAAATCTCACTTATTGTTTAAGATTAAAAGCCGCAAAATGATTGCAGATGTTTTATACATCCACCTCCATGACACCAGTGAGTGATATAATAAACTGTCTCATATTTAAGTTAATGCAATTCACGCTAAAGCTTCATCAGCACTGAGGATGAAATCTGACCTTCCAGTGCTCTACCTCCACTCCATTAACCTGGGAATTAACCTTTGCAAATAAACATTGTTATATAGTGTAGAACTTGTTCTAGCTTTGTTTGTTGAGTGTATGAAGGAGATTTCCATTGAGTACAAACGAGATTAAGATAGTTTTACAAAGGTTAATGTAGTTCATTTACAGGTTATTACTGTGGACAAATTCCAAGAGGAAATCTTCTAGTGTGTCTAGACACAGCACAGTAAGCAAAGTCAGCTCTTTAAAAGGGTGAACAGAAATTAATTAATTAGTGAAATAAAAAAACATTTTCAAGTATATTGGCCTTATTTGTACTCTGACCATCATGCATTTTTTACTTCATCAAAAGACGTTGAAAAAGGTTTGAGGGCAATATTCTAAACCCAAAGAAAAATGCAGAATCAGTAAACGTGTTCTTTTGGCCCACAGTTTTTTCTTATTTTCCAAATCTATTTTTGCACACAAACAACTATTCCTCTTTGATGTTCATATTTCTGCACTTTTTATTAGTAAATGCTCCGTACTTGTATAGCGCCTTTCTGGTCTTTTCGACCACTCAAAGTGCTCAAGTGCTCACTAACTAAGTGCTCACACACATTCATACACCGGCGGAACAACCAATTCAGGGTTCAGTATCTTGCCCAAGGACACTTCAACATGCAGCCTGGGGGAGGCAGGATTGAACCGCCAACCTTCTGATTAACGGCCAACCCGCTCTAACTCCGGAGCCACAGCCGCCCCTACAGCACAGTACTTTGATTAAAATGTTTGAATATTATAAAAAGGGTCATTCTCTCCAACGCATGAATGTAATTCATTAAGGGTGAAGATAATGGTCATATATATCCACCTGGCTGGCTTTCATGATTTCCCAGCCAAACACAGAGACATAAAAAAATACACAGCCTAATTCTATTTTGGCAGT